TTGCTTAGATTATGTCATAACCGTGAAAAATATTGGGTCAGGTTACACGATCAAAATCATAGTGGGCTGCACGATAAATAAATTATACAGCTCATTAAACGAATCATTCAACATGGTCATGTCATTAGTGCCAACAAATAAATATGATGGACTAGCCAGTGATCAAAATCACATCAGTACTTTATTAAATGAATTAAATGATTCATTAAAATTAATAGAAAACTGTATCAATTGTAAAGAATTTATAGAAAAAAATTATTCTGGATTTTTTTATGAATCAATAAATGAACTAAAAAATTTTAAATTAAAAATAGAAAGATATAATTGGTCAGAGGTAAGTAAAACCCATGAATTAAGTAGAATATTTATTAGTATTGATGAAAAATAAAAATAAAAATATTATGTGATGGTTGTAAAAAAAAAAAATTTGAAAGATTAACTGATAAATGTGGAAATAAAGAAATAGCAAGATTTTTTTATGAATATAAACAAAGTGCACAATATTATAAAAATATATATTGGATTCCATTTAATGAATTTAATAATATTGAATACTTGGCTAAAGGTGGTTTTGGAGAAGTTCATAAAGCAACATGGATTAACAATATTTTTCCTCAAACAAGAATAAATGTTGTGTTAAAAAAATTATATAACTCTAATAATAAAATTCCAGATATTATAAAAGAGGTAAAATTTGTAATGTATCAATCAATCTTGTATAATATTTATTATTAAGTATATTTTATAATTATTTTTTTTAGTTAAAAGCACATTATGAATTTAAAGATTTCATTAACAAATGTTATGGAATAACTAAAGATCCTAAAGAGAATGATTATCTGTTGATATTTCGATATGCTGAAAAAGGTGATTTACATAGTAATTTATCAAAAAATTTTGAAGAATTTACTTGGCAAAATAAAATCAAATTACTCTATCAAATTACAATAGGGTAGGTTTTAAATTTTATTATTAAATTTAATTGCTTATATATATAGATATATAATAAAATATTTATATATATTTTTTTTTTGTTGTCAACATGAATTAGATTATCAGGCATTCATGAAAAAAATTACATTCATAATGACTTGCACAGTGGCAATATTTTTTCATATGATCAAATTGTTAACAGGATAGGAGATTTAGGATTATGTCAACAAATGATGAATGAAAAAGATAAACCAAATAAAATTTTTGGGTTATTCCATACCTAGCACCTGAAGTATTGTCAAGAAAACCATATACAAAAGAATCAGACATTTACAGTATTGGTATGATAATGTGGGAGTTCACTACAGGAAAGAAACCATTCTATGATAGACCACATAATCATTGTCTTATATTAGATATTTTAAAAGGAGAGAGACCTCAAATCACAGATGATACTCCTGGATTTTATGTTGAATTGATGAAAAGATGTTGGGATCATGATCCAAAAAATAGACCAACAGCTAAAGAAATTACAGAATGTTTATTTAATTATTATACTCTTGTTTACACAAAAGAAAAAAAAGAAATAGAATTAGCAGAAGCTAAACGACAAGAAATTATCAAATCAGAAAAATATTTGTCAGGCACAGAGAATTATAAACACCATCCAGAATCAGTTTATACAAGTCGTCTACTAAATGAATCAATTCAACAAGCTGAATCATTATGCCTTTCATCAGTAAAATCCATTCAACAATATAGTAATAGTAATATTAGCTCAAAATTTAATGATTTGGTAATAAATGATGATAATGACAGCAATGGTGGTGGTGATGGTGGGTTGTAATAGAAAGATGATTTATTATTGTTGTTGTTGTTGTTGCTATTATCAGTTATATATATTATTTATTATTCATTGTTCAAAAATTTTTTTTGATCATTATATATATAAATAAAATTTTTACAATTTCCCCAAGAAATTCTATAAGAAATAAAAATAATTTATAAATATGAATTTATATGAATTCAATGGGATTATGATTCAGAAGAAGGTCTCCCTGACGGTCAAATTCTTTACAAAGGTGATTGATTTTAATTTTCAATATTACCTTCATTTAAAATCCAAAAATTGGCTTGTGTATGGCTCAATTATAATAAAAAACATAGATGGGTTGTGACCTTCTTAATAAATTTATATGTAAGCCTGACTTGGCTTGTTGAAAGTTTTACTTTCAAAATTTTGATAAAAGATTGTTAAATGAAGTAACAGACAGAATCAGATTCCAAGATAAATCTTTTTTATTTTTATTTTATAATGTCTTGTACCTTAGATTCATAATAATAATAATAATAATAATAATAATCAGTATCAAAGTCACCACATAATAAAGAAATAATAAATGTTTTAAATATGTTAGGAATTGTGAAAAAGTTGCCATTTTTAAAAATGCAAGAAATTTACTGCCAATCAGGGTTGGCTGCATAACTCAAATAAGCACTTGGCCAAACTGACTAAACTATTTAGTCATATGTTTAGTCAAGATGATTGTTAGTAAATTAGGCTTTTACACTGCCAGCCCTGAGCCCTTTTTGTTGTTTAATCATTGTCCATAAAAATAAATTCCAAGTCATGTGCCCACTAATTTATCATTGGTCCAAATTATGAATAGAAACAATTAAATTCAATAAGAAATGGCAACCTTCGAAAGAATTGAACAAGTGTTAGAAAAGGCAGAAAGAAAACTTGAGGCAGCAGAAGCAGAATTGAAAAAGTTCGAAGAAGGAGAGAGTAACAGTGGAAAGTGGTTGAATGAGTTGAGGGATAAGATGAAAAGTTGCAACCTTAGTGAAGTGGAAAAGGCAGAGAAGAGGAGGCTGGAGGAAAAAGAGAAGAAGTTGTATAAAATTGTGGACAATTGGAGAGAGCAAGTAATATACTTGCAAAAAAAATTAAGTGGAGAAAAAGGTAATGAACAAATTGCATAAAAAAATATACAAAAAATTATTTTTCATTCATTCCATTTGGGTGACATACATATTACTGTTTTGTCTTTGTTTCTTTTTTTTTTTGCGCTATCAATGACATATTGAAATATACAAAAAATTCATTCTATTTATCAGGGAAGCAAACAATTAAGGAAGCTTTTCCAGATGGTTTACCAATAGAAGAACCACCTCAGTTACTCACTTCATCTGGTGCTAGCTGGGATTTCCAATTGAATGATGATTTACGAACAATTCTTGCAAGAGAAGTTCCTGACCATTACAAACATTACTGTGAAAATCAATGGGACAAAGTTCATATGCCAACCTATTTATTTCTAGCTGGAGCTGGTAGTGGCAAATTGCGTGAATGAGTTTCATACATCTGTTTTGAATTCATTATCACAAGAACATATAGAACTAAGAACAAAGATAGCTAATGCTTGGGTTTTTCGTGTCAGCCTTGAAAATGGTTGGTCATTGATAACTGGTGAGAAAGGATCCACTGTTATTGGTACTAGGATGCTTTGTCAATGTCTGGTTCAAAGTTTGGAAGCTGTAATTACCAATTATGAGGCACCCTATTCGTATGATGTTTTTGAATTAGTTGCTAAATATTATAAGAAAAAAATTAGAAGACTGTACTATTTTTCTGGTAGTGGATGGCTTACACCAATTAATGTCTGAACAAGCAAATGGAATAGACAAAAACAGTGATTTTTACCGTACACTAACAAATATAGGGGATCTTGCAATGAGAGGAGTTTTCTGTCTTCCATGCATCACAGCAACCGTTTTTACTCCCATTACTTCCTTTCTGGCTAGCTCACATCAAAAACGTCTTGATCTGCCAATCACTGGTCTCAAACCTCCACAAATTCAGTCAAGGGCAGTATTTTCTGAAGATGACATTCTTGTAAAAATTCTCATTAGTGATTGTGGGGGCAATGCTAGAGCAATGGAAGCACTTAATGATACAATTGGTGATTCAAATATCACAAATATGAATCCTAGTTCTGTGATGCAACGGTTGCATTTAATTCTTGCTGACAGATACAAAGAAATGCTTGGTAATCTTAGTTCTGATGTGGCTCAGGATATTGCAAGAGTAATTCTCACTCATAAGAAGCTGCGACATGATCAATATATTTCAAACATTGTAAGGAAGACTTCCGAACAGTTGGTACAGCCTGGCTTGATCCAGTTCCATAAAATTGGTGAACTGGGAGAAGGATACCTTTCTGCACCATACATCTGGATTTGGATTCTGTCAGACCAAAGGTTAGATGAAAAAAGTGATTATATCCTTCAACATTGGAGATTCAATGACTATGTTGAACAAAGGTCCAAATTACAGGTAGGTCCAGAAACACTTGGTGCTCAATTCTGGCAGAATTTTGAAGACTTTGTTGCTAGATTTCGTTGCATTAAATCCCGGATTTTTAATGAAGGTGAGCATGTAAACATTAGTGAAATGCATACAGGGGCTGTATTGAATGTTGAGTTTCGATTTGTGAATTATCATCTTGGGTTCCGCACTGCAACTAAGCAGATTGATACCAATTCAACATCAGACAACATGAAGGAATGGTTTATCACATGTACTCATGATATTGTTAATGCTCGAGATTGTCAAAAGTTTATCCTCAATTGTGCTTCAGCACCTGCTGGAGATGGCTTTGTTTGTCTGGCCTGTCCAGGACATACTCTAAATGAAGTACACCAATACAAGCATCTGCAAAAGAGCAATTTCACTCTAGATAGCTATCAGGATGAATGTTATAAAGCTGCATCAACTGACGATTTTTTCCTTGCTTTTACAACTCAAAAAAATTGTAATTGGGATGATAATCTTCCACCAAACTCAGGTATTATACATGGACAGAATTGGGGAAAATATTTTGGGCCATTTGCTGGTCGAGCCTTTATATTTTCACAGGATAGTCCACCAGATATTAACAGTGCATCATACTTGCACCTACAGCTGATTGAGGGAATAGGTATGGAGCATGCTGAAAAAATTATTAGTAAAAGACCATTCAACAGTTTGGAAGAAGCAATAGAAAGGACAGGCATTGATGGGAAAATATTGAAGAGATTTAAATTCTCATCTTAGTAGTTATGATTTCAACAGATGTTAGATAGCAAATAGAAGGACTTTTATAAATGACAAAATATAAGCCATGCTTAATGCATACAATAAATAATTCATTGTCAAAATCCATAACACATAATGTAAATACATAGGCAACCCCATTAAACCAAAGGCAATTGTGCAGGAACTTTTCTTCGGATTAATGGTGTTTTTTATAATCCAAAGTTATTGTTAGAGTCATAAATTAATTCGAATAAACAGGGTAATAAATCTAAAAATTTAGGATTTAGAATTTCCTTTATCCATTTTCTGGCAGTGAATTGATTTGGATTCAATGATAAAAAACAATAGCTCTTTTTTAGAATTTCAGAAACAGTAGATTTACTGACATTATATTTAGATGCAAGTTTTATGTTTGGTCTTTATTTTTTTCAATGCATATTTATATTTTTTGTGAGATTGTTATAGGTGTATGTTTTCTTTTTGATGCCCCAACTTCTTCAATAGTTTTTTTTTCCTCTTGTTTGCACTAGAGGAAAGCCCACCCTGGTGCTGAGTCATGTATCACAACACATACATATAAATAAGATCGTCATAAAAAAAATTAACAAATATTATCATCTTTTTAAAATGCACAAGCATGTTCTAGTTTCAGGAACATTAATATTTTTTCTAGAGATCGATTTCTAAGAATGTTTAATGCAAGTGTTTCAAGACATGAGGCGAATTTAGAGAAAAGAACATATCTTCACCAGATATTATCAGACATAGTGATAAGAATTTTTCAAACCTTTCCTATCAGTCCTGTCTTGTTTTATAATGTTAGCAGTTTTACAGATCATGCTATCAATAAATTAGCAATTTCAGATCATGAATGGAATTAATTTATTCACTATAGGCGATCATAATAAATCTTATCACATACATCAGATGATTTACATGATCAATAAATACATTAATATTAACCTTTTTATTTTTGCCGCTAAAAATTCTTTCAATTTATTATAATGTTATAGATAAAGAATAAACAATCTCAATCATTTTGTTTTACAATGAACAGGACATAATTCCGAGCATTTTCTCTTTCTTGGTAGATTCATCAATGCTTCCTCTTCATAAGAATTATAATCTACACTAGGAGGTGATGATATGGACAATTGTGTTTGTGGTGAATGAGGAGATGATGATGGGGGTGATGACGATGACTATAGATAAAAAATAAATCACATTAACTAAATAAATTTTTTCCTTCAGAGACATGATCACTTAATTTATACTTACAGATTTATTCTTGCGACCTTTTCTTAATGGATGCCCGCAATTATAATTTATAGTTATTCTATTTCGAAGATTATATTTTCACATCAATGGAGTCGGAGCAGGGCTTGTTGATCTTAGCGTTCTTTTCTTATTATTTGATGATGATGTTGTTGTTGTCATTGATACAGGTGGTGATGATGATGGTTGTATAATTTCTTCAGAATTGTCATTTGAGTTTGATGATGATATCATCGTTATCAGTGGTGATGGCAGTGGCAGTTCTATAATTTCTTCAAAATTATTACCTGAATTTGGTGATGTTGTTATCGTTATTGATTCCAGTGGTGTAAAGACTAGTGCCGTAATCCAAAAAAGGAAAAAGTACGGTTGCAAAAGTGGTCACAAAGGTAATTGCAACCACTTTTTATATGCCGTAAACACAATTACTAACATCATCATAATTTACAGCACTAGTATTTACAGTGGTGGTTGTGATCTGTTTTCATTGTCATTGTCATTGTTTTCATTATTGTTGTTATTTTTATTGTTATTGCTATCATCATCTAAATTTTCAAAGTAACCATCTAAGGTTTTTGTAATATTTGTAAACGAATTATTCAAGTCATCTAGAAGATCACATTTATTATGGTGGATTGGTCAATTTCATATATTTCGCTTAGTTTTGAGATGGTACTTTCCCTGAGAAACTTTATGGAATTGGTATTAGTTTTAGATCTTATAATCAAAAACTAAACTCGCTAAATTAAAATAATCTGTCTTATCCATTGGGGGTAATATGATAAACTTACTTGTAGTGGAGACGAGGAGGAATCACTAGGATGTTTAAAATAAATAATATTTTTAGTGTTGTTTATTATTATAAACTAGAGTGATGACAACCACCATTCTTATGATAAACACTTGTTTCAATTATTTTATCTTCTCTTTTTCTATATTTTTTGAATGATGCCATCTTCAAATTTTGAAAAAAAATTTTTAAAATAGATAATCTGATTTTGATACATGTAACCCCCTTTATAAGTACAATCTAGGGGTATGGGGGACAACTCAAAGTTACACATATAGATATTTGCCGATCTTCCAATTCCAAAACTGTCACCCCTTCAAAAATTAA